TGTTGTGGTCTATTTGACTCTTCAACTTGAGAAGAATTTGTTTGATGAAGATAGCTGCTCCATTGTTTGGTGTGTATATATCATTAGGTCTTGTTGGTGTGTGGTTCCCTTGAGCAGTAAGTAGTGTCCTTTTTTATCCTTTTTGATTGACTTTACTTTGAAGTCTACTTTATTTGATATAAGGATGGAAACCTCTGCTTGCTTCCATAGTCCATGTGAGTGGTATGATTTTTCCCACCCTTTCACCTTCAGTCTGTGAATGTCTTTTTCTATGAGCTGAGTCTCTTGGAGACAGTATAATGTTGGGTCTTTTTTCTTTTTCTTTTCTTTCTTTTTTTGTCCAATCTGCTACTCTATGTCTTTTGATTGGTGAGTTTAGGCCATTAACATTCACGGTTATTATTGAGACATGATTTGTATTCCCAGCCATTTTTTGTTTATTTTTGGTATTTAACATGACGTGGTTTCTCCTCTGATTAGATTTTCTTTTAATGTAATCCCTCCCTCTGCTGATTTTCATCATTGTTTTTCATTTCCTCTTCTTGGAATATTTTGCTGAGTATGTTCTGTAGTGCAGACTTTCTCATTGTAAATTATTTTAATTTTTGTTTGTCATGGAAGGTTTTTATTTCATCATCAAATCTAAAGCTTAGATTTGCAGGATATAAAATTCTTGGTTGGCATCCATTTTCTTTCAGAGCTTGGTATATGTTGTTCCAGGATCTCCTGGCTTTGAGGAACTTGGTTGAAAAATCTGCTGAGATACAAATTGGTCTCCCCCTACATGTGATCTGCTTCCTCTCTCTTGGGGGTTTTAAGATTCTATCCTTATTCTGATGCCAGGCATTTTCATTATAATGTGCCTTGGTGTAGATCTGTTGTGCTTTTGTACATTTGGTGTCCTGTAAGCCTCTTGTATTTGGTTTTATAATTTGTACTTCATGCTTGGGAACTTTTCTGATATTATCTCATTGAAGAGATTGTGCATTCCTTTGGTTTGAAACTCTGTGCCTTCCTCTATCCCAATGACTCTTAGATTTGGTCTTTTGATGCTGTCCCAAAATTCTTGAATGTTGTGTTCATGGTTTCTAACTTTCTTCACTGTGTGGTTAACTTTATTTTCCAGATTGTACACTTTTTCTTCATTATTTGACGTTCTTTCTTCCAAGTGATCTAGTCTGTTGATTATACTTTCTATTGGGATTTTTATTTGATTTATTATATCCTTCATTTCAAGGATTTCTGACTGTTATTTTTTTCAGGGTCTCTCTCTCTCTCTTGAAGTAATCTTTTGCTACCTGTATTTACTCTCTTATCTCATTGTTGGAGTGATCAATTTTTGCCTGTATTTGCTCATTTAGGTCATTCTTTAATTCATAGATTATTTTAATTCACCCATGGGTGGATCTTGTATTGTTCTTATTAATATAAAAGTTGTTTCAGGGAAAGAATTCATAGGTCAGGATCCCTCAGTGATAACCTTCTGAACTCCTTCTCTGACATTTCATCAACTTAACTGTCCATGGATTCTGTTATTAGAGTATCCTGGTTTGTTTGGGGCACTTTCCTCCCTCGTTTTTTTTTTATGTTGTCCATGTGTCTCCCTTTCTTGCACTGTGGATCTGAGTTATTACAGTTTCTTCCCTATATTCTTGTAGTACCCATGCATATTTTTTATACCTCACCTTGATGTTGGGCTTCTAGTCCCTGCTGGTATCCCTCAATGAATGCTACTGCATCCTGGGTCTGAGTCCTGTGTGAGTTGGAGTGGGTGGATCTGGGCTGCTGAGCTTGACATCCCCTGATAGTCTGCTGGTTGGAAGGGGGTGGTCCTGCACCAAAGGCTAGGCGCTGATGGTGTCTGCCCCATGGGGGGAGGGGTGAACCGGGCCTACTGAGAACCTGGATCCACTGTCTGGATTACTGTAGTTCTGTAGTCAGTCTTGAAGTCAGTAGTATGTTCCCTAACTTTGTCCTTCAATATACTTTAGAGGGTTTTTAAAAACATATTCATTAACTAATTATCTGGATTTTTTATAGAGATTTCTTTGAATCTATATATCTCTTGGGAAAGGATTGACATCTTGACAATGCTGAATCTTCATCAGTGAGCACAGATATCTCTCTATTTGTGTTATTCTTTGATTTCATTCATATGAGTATTATAATTTTTCTACAGTTAAACATGCTGTACATATTATATTAAATTTATAGAAAAGCATTTCATTTGAGTGGTACTGATATAAGTAGTATTGCATTTATTAAAAATTTCCTCTTCATTGTTGGTTTTGTTTTTATGCAGGAAATCAAATTAATTTTATATATTATTAATTTGTATCTTGCAAACTTTCTGTTTGCTTTTTTGTTTCAGAGTGTTTCTTTTATTTTTGTTGTCATGGTTGTTGTATATTTTTTTATATTTTTTAATTGTTTTATATGAATTTCCTACATGGAAGATCATCATCATTCAACAGTCACAATTTCATTCTTCCTGTCCAATCTTTGTAACTTTTACTTCTTTTTCTTGTCTTATTGTATTATATAATATTTATTGTAGATTTTAAGGCCATTTTATTTACATAATATTCATTACTTTTTTAATTGGCTGTATTTATCTATAAAGATTTAAAAAGTAATTCCAGAGGGCTGTTAATTCCTCCCAAATTAAAGTGCAGACCTACTGCAATTCTAACAATACACCAGGAGAAGTTTAGAGTAATCAAAAGTGATACTATAATTTATCAAGAAGAAAAAAATAATTTAAAAATTGAAAATAAAAGGATGATGAATATTTAAATTAACTATTAAAATATTAGCACACTTATAAGAATAAAAAGTTTTCATACTATCATAAAAATCAATAGCAAATAAAATTTAGAATAAATAACTTCTTGTAAGTAAATTTCTCTGGTTGAGAAAAATTATGGGAAAAGTTCTGAGATTATTGGTTTAATATTTTGAATATTTAAAGTCAAATTATGAAAATTACAACAGAAATAACTAAAGTACAATTTTTAGAATAAGAGTAAAGAAGGAAGAAAGGAGGGAAGAAAGGAAGGAAGGATGGAAAAAGAAAGAGCAAATTGAATGTTTTAGACATAATAAAACACCAAGGATTTTCCTTTATTTTTTAATGAAAAATTTTGTAGAAAACTCATGTATTAAAATGTTATATGTTATAACATGGGATTTTAAGAGCTTTTCAAGTAGTTGCAGATGTTATGATTAATATAGAAAAACTTGTTTTTTTCTATATTAATATTCCAAATTTTAAAGAAACACGAAGAAAATATTTCTAACACTAAATGTTTCTAAAATAGTGGTCAAGAAAATCAGAAGCTACAGACTGAATTATTTGTGAAAAACAAATCTGCTAAAGGACTGTTCTCAAAAATACCTATTCATGCTCAAGAATAAGAAAATGAGCAACACAACTGAAAAATAGGCAAAAACCTCAGAAACAGCTCACCATAGAAGGCAAATAGGTTACAAATAAGCATATGAAAAGATGCTTCACATAATATGTTATTTGGAAATTACAAATTGAAAAAAAAATAGAATACCATTACATACATTTTAGAATGTCTAAAATTTAAAACTCTAGCAATACTAAATGCTGATAAAGACGTGAGCATTTATTCATTATCACTATGGATGCAAAACAGTGCAGCTACTTGGGAAGAGATTTTGATAATTTCTTGCAGAACTAAATACAGTCTTACCATACAGTGTCACAATCACATACCTTGGTGTACAGTTAAAGGAGTTAGAAATTTATGTCAATATGAAGTTCTGTGCACAGTTATTTATAGCAGCTTTAATCATAATTTCCCAAATGCAGAAGTAACCAAGACATCCATCATTAGGTGAATTAAGCATTAATAATAAGCAGTAGTATGCTGAATGAAATTCTCTTTAGGACTAAGAAGAAATGGTTTATTAAGCCATAATAAACATGGAAGAAATATAAATCTCTACTACTAAGTGGAAGAAGCCACTTTGAAAAGAATAAATAATATATGATTCCACTTCTATGCCATTCTGGATAAAGCAAAACTTTGGAGACAGGAAAAATTAAGTCAGTGATTAACAGGGATTGGGGACAGGGCAGAGGGAAAAGGAACAAATATACACAATACAGATTTTTTATGGCTGTGAAACCGTTCCACATAATAATATAAGGATAGATAAATACCCTTATACACTTGTTAAGACCTATTGCATGAACAATACTAAGAGGAAACCCTAATGTAAACTAGTAACTTTGGATGGCCATGAAGTGTCAATGTAGGTTCATCATTTTCCATCACTCTGGTGGGGAATGCTGGTAAAGGGGGAAGCTGGGCATGTGGTGCATCAGGTGCTCCATTTTGCTATGAACTTAAAACTGCTCTAGAAGATAATTATAGTTATAAAAGAAGAATTAAATATCACTAATGTGGATTTTCAAAAGGCTGTATATTTTTCTTATTTTTATTTAATTTTTTATTTGTTCTTATTAGTTATACGTGACAGTAGAATGCATTCTAACACATTATACATAATTTTGAATCTTCTGGTTGTACATGATGTAGAGTTACACAGGTCATGGAATCACATATGCACATAGAGTAGGTAATAATGTCTAATTTATTCTGCTATCATTCTTACGCCCATACCCCGTTGCCTCCCTTCACTCCCCTCTGTCTTTTTCTACTCTTGAAAAATTTGTTCACACAGTTCAATGCCCTTGAGATGAATCTAAGTTATATCTATCAATAGTTTGTTCCTTTGTATTCCATGTTAAGATCATATAGTGAAATGTTTTGTTCATTTATATTTTGAGTGACATTTTAATTTCCAGTTTGGAGCTGTTACAAATAGTTTCTATGAACATTCATATACATGTTTATGCATAGACATAGTTTTCAATTTCATGGAATACAAGTCCAATAGAGCTATTATTGAATTCTATGGTAAGTTTAAGTTCAATTTTTAAGAAGCTCTCAAATATTTTATAGGCTAGCTGTTCCATTCTATGTTACCATCAGCAACGTATGAGAGATACAGGTATGTCATATATTTGCCAATAATTGTGTTGTCCATGTTTTTTATTTCAGCTATTTTGCTAGGTGCATAATTATATCTCAAGATGATCTTAATTTACGTATCCTGTAATGAGCAGTAATGTTAAATATCTTTTTATGTTCTTATTTTCCATTTAAATAGACTCTTTGTGGAAATATGTTTTCATGATTGTTGCTCATTTTTTAAATTGGAATGTTTGGTTTTACCATAGAATTCTGAGAGTTCTTTTTATATTCTAAGTACTTTGACAAATGTGTGTTTTGCAAATATTTTTACATGGTCTGTAACTTGTCTTTTCATGCTCTTGACTAGAGTCTTGCATACATAGTAAATTGCTTTCTTAAATTTTGTAAATCTATTTGATCATTTTTTTCTCTTTTGGATCATGCTTTTGAATTTATGACTAATAAATCTTCACAAAAACCTACATCCCCAAATTTTTCTCCTGTTATCTTCAAAAATTTTTATGATTTCATACTTAAGAGTTAATAATGGGATCCAACTACAATAATTTTTATAAGTCTTAAAGCTTGGTAAAAGTTTATTATTTACTTATTTTGTCTATGAATGTCAAATACTTCAGTACCCTTTAATGAAAACACTGTCCTTCCATTAAATTGTTTTTTACACCTTTGTAAAAAATAAATCTGATGCTTCTACTTGTGTGAGACCTAGTTCTTTTTTTTTTTGATTTTTGTTCTCTTCTTGTTTATATCTCTTTTTCATTATTAAACGATTTTGATTACTATAACTATGTAATAAACCTTGAAACTTGGTAGCTATTCCTACCCCAATTTCATTCATCTTCAAAATTGTTTTAGCTATTTTAGTTCACTTATCTTCCCAATAAATTTAAGAATTACTTTTGTCAATATCTATCACATAATATTTCTGGGGATTTCATTGGAATATCATAAAACTATATCTGTATCAATATGTAGGTATTTATACATATCCTTATATGGAAATATAAAAATTTGGAGAGATTTAATACTTTTTTACTTGAATCTTCCAATCAATAACCAAGTGTTATGTTTTCATTCATTTAGACCTTCTTTTCTTTCTTCCATCAGTGTGTTGTAATTTATACATTAGCATCCAAAATCCAGTGCTGTTTTGACAGATTTATAGCTATTTCATTTTTGTCGAGTAAATTCAAATTGCATTTTACTTTTAATTTTATTTTTCCCATTTTATACATTTCATATTTATCTTTTCACTTGCTTCAATCATGTTCCTAGTTGCTTATTGAAGCATTTTTATGATGGATGCCTTAAGATCCTTATTAAGTAATTCTAACATTTATGTGACCTCCATGTTGGCATCTGTTGATTAGCTTTCGTCATTTTAGAAAACTGTTTCTGGTCCATGGTATGATTAGTGAGGGTTTTGTTTTGTTTTGTTTTAAGTAAAACATGAACATCTGAGAGAAGTAGGTTGTGACACTATGGATCTTATTTATATCGTGCATTTTGGAAGCTTCTTCTGATATTGCCCAACTGAGAAGGAGCACTGTTTTTGCCAGATGGTAGTTGAATTCCAGGTTCTCAAGTCTACTTCTGTGAGCAGTAGGGATGAAGGTACTTAACATTGCCGCTGGGTGGGAGTGAGGATAGGTCTCAGGATACCAACCTGGCTGGGAGGGGAACAGGGCCTTAATGACACTGCACTGGGAAGGCAGACGCCTTACTGTTCATAGGTGATGAAAGGTTCAACTTTCTACTTAGTTTTCTCGGAATTCAACCCAAAGAGAGTGTCAGGGGCACCTGGTAACAGGCAGGTGAAGAGAAAGTCCAGACTTCTCACATGACCTCTACTCACACCATCTTGGGACTAGCAGGGTGACAGTTCTGGCCCTTCATCCCCCCTTTCCCTATATTACCCCATGCATGGGCTGGCAATTTCTATGGCAGCCTGGTGAGAGAAGAAAGTCTAGCCCTCTCTGATGTTCGAGAGAGACATAGTATGTTTTCTGTAGTTCTTGGCTGAAGTAGAGTGACTGTTGTCTAAAGTTTTCTGTTTTGTCAGGCTTTACCTTTTTCTAATTTTTGGTTAGAGAGAACAAGATTTTGGAGAGATTTTGTGTGTGACCATTGGTGTTTCCAGGTTACCATTTTCTCCCAAACCCAGCTTGTTTTATGTGTATGTGTATGTGTGTGTGTGTATTTGTGTGTGTGTGTATATTTGTGTATAAATATATATGTACACACACTCACACACATACAGAGAGAGAGAGAAATAGAAAGAGAGAGAGAGAGAGAAAGCCTGAAAACAGATATTTCCCTTTATAATGATACTCATTGAAAAAGAAATTTCTGACTACTTCAGAAAATGTGAATGTTAGCAGAAAAAAGTCTTGTAGAAGCTTATTATGCAAGCCGACATTCCATTATAAGGAAACTACAAAACTTTTATCTCCTCTTCTTCAAGTCCTTTGAGTAGTTCTGGATTTGAAAGAATAAGACACACAGTTGGTTTAATTCATTTTAAAATGGGATTCCATTTTAAGAAGATGAAATCTACTAAGTACTATCGTATTGAATCAACATCTATTATCTATATTTATTGAATAGTTACCATATCAGCCAGACACAGCTATCTGGACTAGTTTTTACTGTTATATTAAGTAGTTTGTGGAAATTGTTTCTAGAAATTTGGTATATGATTTTTTTTCCTTAGTCTCTTTTGAGGAATAGTTTCCTGGCAGAGTCTCATTTATATTGTCTTTTAAATAACCGAGTTCCATTTGTACAGGAGCAAAGTTCATTTTGGTAAATAAATCTTAAAGCTGAAAACCTAAACAGAGATATAGGCATTATTTTTCTTGAGGACTTAGTGACTTATAGTGGCTGTAGATATCACACATAGTACTTTTTAATTGCTTTCAGTTACATGAACAGATTGCACTGAAGACCTGCAACTGGAATCTACCATGAAGATGGTATAATAAATGTTTCTGTGTCATGCAGCGATTAGAAAGGAGTCATAATTCTTTGGAGATTAGAAGCTAAGTTTCCCTTGAAAAGGCAAAAAACATATTGCAAGTCATAAATATATTTGAATATCCTGTAAAATTGTGTGTAAGTTAAGTATGTATGGCATAGCATATATTTTCCTCATGAATCTCAATGCATTATAAGGTTGGCAAACCATGGGCTGAGAGTAAAGCAAGGAGCAGAAGTAAAGCAATATAGCAGAAGGCTATATTCTGAGGTCTGACTGCTGAAGCCCTCTGCCTTGAAGAGAACTCTTGGGCCTATCTATGAACCTTACATGAATGGGAACTTTAATTCATTCTTTCTTACCATTAAATATATGACCAAATAATCTGTAATAATTATTTTTAGGTGAAAGGAGTAGAAGAGATGGTGGTTCAACTTCCTAGAGGCTGGTTACATTTCCAGATGAGCCTGATAGTTCCATAAATGTATTTCAGGTTCAAGACAGTCCTAAAATTACAAGGAGAGAAAGAGCAAATTATTTCATATGAGTTAAACTTTGTTCCAGCCTCTTTTTAAAAGTGGAGATGCACAATGAATCCTGACTTTATATGGCTAATTAAAATAATAAAAATAATAATAGTGGGAAACCAGTAGATTTGAGCAAGGAGATCAGGGAGAGGATAAAGGTAGGGAAAGGGTAGGTACTGGGAAATGATACTAATTAAAATTGTGTTATGTGCATGTACATATATGGCATAATAATTCCCATTGTTGTGTGTATTATAATGAATCCAAAAAAAGAATTGAAAAGTACTAAAAGATAAAAAAAATTGAATATTTAATTATTGATCTATTTAACATTAATTAATTAAGGGTTTTCAATATATTAAATATATGTCTATAACATATTAATTGTAATTAAAAAAATAGTAATGTGGATATTAGCTTTGTGTATAATTTTTTTATAATCCAATATTAAAATTGAATCAGGGTTTTCTCCCTTTGAATTATCTATGAATGACATATTTTTAGGTTCTTGTTCAAAACATTCTACCTAGTTTCATCATTTTATAAGAATTTATAAGGCACTTTAAAAAATCTTGTGTCAGACATAATTCCATGTGTACCTCAGGATATTTATGCTCATATGCAATCAATAAGACTCTAGGAAAATAATATAAGAACCATATAACATATTCAATGGCATAGTCATGTTTAAAGGAAGGGATATGACACTTTGAGTGATTTCCATAATGACTTTCACAATCGTTGTAATAATGCAGGTAAGAAATACTCTAGTCCATTTTATAAAAGCTAAATATTTGAACTCTGCTGCTACCATTTATTCAGTTTCTTTAGGCCAATAGGTTATTGGTGTTCTTTTAATCAGAACCAAAGCAACCCTATGAACCTCTCAGAGCCTATTGACATTGATGATTATGCATTTACTGGTAAATTTCACAAAATGCGAAGAGCATAACTATATGAACAAAATTAAATAATGTATTATTGAAAAGCAGACTTATATCCCCAGAACTATATTGCTCCTGTGCTTGTGTAGGAGTAGAAATACAGTGTAGCTCTTTACAGTATTCATTAATATTTCAAGTTTAGGGCCATGAAACACCCCAGAAGCAGCTGATTCCTTTTTTTAAGTCTTTTGTTTTTGTTCAGTTTGTCCTACAAATAGTAAATTACTCATAGTACACACTTAGCATATGTTAGCAGTCTTCCCAGAATAACCTAGTTGGGGTGAAATATGGAAAAGAGGTAGAACACATGCAGGGAAATATCCCCAAAGTGGTATGTATGTTCTAGCAGGCTTTTACATTTTTTTAGTTGTTAAAGTCACTTTCATATCACCTATCCCGGCTAGTTTTCTTTCCTTCTAAAGTATTTTAGAAGTGTACTTATTTTAAAAATGGAATATATAATATTTATGATAAAAAATACAACATGTATACTCTTCTAAAAAACACTTCTGCTCTCATTTGCAGGAGTCTTTAACCAAAGAGATGTCTGTGCATATCCCTTTCCAGC